CTGCTTTGGTGCATCTCACAAATTTTGCTGCTTTATATTTTCATTTCATCCAACTTTAAATATTTTCTAATTTCTCTTGTGATTTCTTCTTTGGTTTATAATTTATTTAGAATCACCTCATTTGAAAACAAATGAGTAAACAAACACAAAGCAAAATCAATCGTATAAATAGAAAGAACAAACTGATGGCTGCAAGAGTGATGGGGTAAGGAGATGGGCAAAATGAGTGACAGGGAGTGGGAGATACAGGCCTCAATTATGGCATGAATGAGTCACAGGAATGAAAGGCACAGCACAGGGAATATAGTCAATGATACTGTAACGGCGTTCTATGGTGACAGATGGTAGCTACACTTGTGGTGAGCATAGCATAGCATACAGAGATGGTAAATCACTATGATGTACACCTGAAACTAATGTGATATTGTGTGCCAACTATAATTTGAAAAAAAAATTTTTAAAGAATATATTATATAGCTATAATTAAAAAATGTGAATGTAAAAAATAAAAGAAATTTTAAAAAAGATGACAATATTCCCCAAATCCAAACTGGTTTTTGTTTGTTTTTTACAGAAACTGACAAACTGATCCGAAAAGTAATGGTAATCAAAAGAGCGTGCTATTGGCATGAAGATTAACATATAGATCAGTGAAACAGAACTGAGAATCCAGAAATAAACTTCTACTTTTATGGTCAACTGATTTTCCAAAAGGGTGCCAAGAGAATTCAATGGGGGAAAGAATACTCTTTTCAACAAATGGTGTTGGGACAACTGGATATCCATACACAAAAGAAGCTGCTGGATCCCTACCCTACACCATATACAAAAATTAACTCAAAATGGATCAAAGACCTAAATGTAAGCACTGAGGGGCACCTGAGTCACTCAGTTGGTTGAGCATCTGCCTTCAGCTCAGGTCATGATCCCAGGGTCCTGGGATAGAGTCCCATATCCGGCTCCTTGCTCAGTGGGGAGCCTATTTCTCCCTCTGCCTGCCACTCCCCCTGCTTGTGCTCACACACTCCCCCCCCCCGACAAATAAATAAAATCTTTAAAAAAATAAAAAAATAAATGTAAGCATTAAAACTATACACCTCTTAGAAGAAAACATAGGAGTGAATCTTTGTGACTTTGGATTAGGCAATGGTTTCTTAAATATGACACCAAAAGCTCAAGCAACACAAGAAAAAAGAAATTGGACTTCATAAAAATTAAGAACTTTTGTGCCTCAAAGGATGCCATCAAGAAAGTGAATAAACAACCCACAGAATGGGAGAGAATATCTGTGAGTCATGTATCTGATAAGGGTCCAGGATCCAGAACAAACAGAGGAGGCTTAAAACTCAACAATAAAAAGACAAATATACCAATTTAAAAATGGAAAATACTTGAATAGACATTTCTCCTAAGAAGATATACAAATGAAAAGACGCTCACCATGATTAGCTGTTAAGGAAATCAAAGCTACAATGATAGACCATTTTGCATCCATTTGATCCTGATGTTTGGAACATTCTTTTTGGGTGGAACAGGATTAACGATAGAGGATTATATTTCTTTCTCTACAGATTCAATTACTTTAACTGGTCCTTCAGTAACAATAAAAATATGTAATGTCTTGGATTACGTGTTTTAGAAACAACATTGTATACATGAAGCCTGGAAAACATACAAATGGTAATGGAATAGAATACAAAGCATTAGAAACCTTGCAATATAAAGGAAGTGGTATGGCTGTCAGGAGCTAGCCAGAGAGATGGCAGGAAGTACAGGGGAACTAACTGCCTTATCTTCATACACTGAAGGAATCAAGACATATAAAGTTGATGGACCTTGATCTAGAAATTTAATTTATAAAGGTAGACAATAGAGGCATGAAAAAAACCCCCAAATTTGGGGAAAACGGAAAAAGGGAGATAGAAGAAAGATAGTTTAAGTGAATTAATGTCTCATTTTTCATAGTAATGAGTTAATGCTGCCTACACTTGATAAATCAAGTAATAGAGATGGAAGCATGATAGTTAGATTGGAGGAAAGTACAATAAGAACTAAAACAGTAAAGTTAACAGTGGTTGCCTTGGGGAATTATCTGAGTGCAGGAGTGAGGATGAAGCAGAGACTTTATCATTCATTTGATAAATAAAAAATATATATGTATAAAGACCAAGTAAGCAAAAAGACTAAAAAGAACACCCATTACCATAACCATGAAGAGACTGCTGCTGTTAACCATCTGTGTATAGCCTTACAAAATCTCACTGCAGGGAAATATTTTAGCTTTTCTGAGTTATCCACACCCCATGGTAAAAACTGACAGGTAGGGACATCCTAGGGTAAAGATATACAGGTACATTATGGACACGAGCTAGGAGTGCTCCCATATGGAAATCACGGCAATCTGTGAGTGTGTAGCGACTAAAAGCCCTGACTTAGTCACCCCTGACCACCACGCATCAAAGTCTTAAATATTCTCCTTACTCAATGTCTACCCTTGAGTAAGGATTAGCAATGCTTACAGAAGTATTAACAAATGGGACTCTGGGGTAAAAAATACCATTCTGAGTTAATTTCTGAGAAATCTGACCTAACAAACAGGAGCATCAAGGGACTGGGATCTTCTTCCAGACCCAGTTCCATGACTTACCCACAAAATTGAGCACTTCTTACCTAGAGAAACAAGAATCTCATAATTGGTTCTCATTACATGCTTGTAAAGCTCCTTCTGCCATGCCTCTAGATTCTGCCATTCTTGCTCAGAGAAATAAATGGCCACATCCTCAAAAGTCAGAGGTAACTGAAATTACAGACATAATACATACACAGCATTAGTGCTTCAAAAGGACTTCAGCTCCTTCTCATCAACTTATTTTTTTGTTTTGTTTTGTTTTTTAAGTGAACTCTATCCCCAAGGCGGGGCTCAAACTCACAACCCTGAGATCCAGAGTCACCGGCTCTACCCACTGGGCCAGCCAGGTGCCCCTCCTTGTCATCAATTAAAAAAATTTTTGTAGTGGACACTGTTTTTGTCTATTCAGCAGCTTCCTCCTTAGGAACTGCTCCTTCCCCCACTCCAGTCTTATGGTTCTGCTCTTACCCACTACACCATCCGAGGTTCTTTATGCTTGTTTGAACTATATATGCATATGGATAGTAAAGAATTTTTTTTCTTTAAAGTGGGAATAAATCACTGGGTAATTTCATTCACTTAATATTTTACAGATATCTTTCCAGGTCAATGTGTAGAGGCAAAACCAGGTTTTTGTAAACTGCAGTGTCTTTCATGCCACGGGTACATATACCCCACTGATAGGGAGGGTATATGTATATGTATCATTTCCTTTATAAATTACAAACAATGCTCTGAAATGCTTCCTGATATATTTAGTGCTTTTACCTCTGTAAGATAAAGCCTAAAAAGGAGAACTACTAAATCAAAAGGTATAAACATGTTCAGTGTAATAAATACCATTAGATTGCCTTCCAAAAAGAATTCGGCATTTTTGCCCATGCTAAGAAGATGAGACTTATTTCTGTACACTTTGCCAGCACAGGTTGTTCTTAAACCTTTTTTTTTTCTTTTGCCAATGTAATGGTAAAAAATTGTATTTCATTTTTTTAATTTGCATTAATTTGTGAAGCTTAGCATCCTTTTCATCATTTTCTGGGGAGGGGGGCATTCCATATATCTTTGTGCAGGTCTATTCACATCCTTTGCTGAACATTCCAGTGGGCTCCTATAATTTGAACGGATTCCTTGTATTAGGGTTAATAATCCTTTGATTGACTAGCAAACACTTCTTTTTAAAGATTTTATTTCAGAGAGAAAGAGAGAACGAGCTCAAGCATGAGTGGAGGAGGGGCAGAGGGAAAAGCAGGCTCCCCGCTGAGCAGAGCGCCTGATGTGGGATGTGGGGCTTCATCCCAGGACCGTGGGATCATGACCTGACCCGAAGGCAGACCCTTAAGTGACTGAGCCACCCAGGAGCCCTAGCAAACGTTTTCTCCCAGTCATTTGTATTTTGAGTTTATCTTCTGCCAAATACCCTTTTATTTAGTTTTAATCTGTAAGTCTTTTCCATTGTTTCCAGCTTTCTAAGTGGTCCCCGTATCAAAAAGTTGTACAAATACTCTACTTTTTTGCATTTAGATTTGCACTTAATTCTGTAGATGAGATTGGCATCTATTATATACGTATGGATAGCCAATCACACACTATTAAATATACCATTCTTTCTCCTTAGATTGAAATGCCAACCTTTGCATGTATTAGATTTTCATAAGTATGTGAATCTGTTAATTTCTGCTATACTTTCCCTATGTATCTTTTTACAATACCTATGCAATATCTAATATTGGGAGGGCAAGTCTTACCCCCTCCTCCCATTCTTTTCCAAGTTACTCCTGTGAATTCCTGGATATTTATTCTTCCTTATAAATTATTTTGTCCAACAACAAAAAAAGCACATTGGAATTCAGTTTGAATTGCATTAAACATATACACATATTTAGGAAAGATTTTGACCTCATTTAGGAACATGTTTTATCACTCCATTTATTTGGTCTTGTTTGCTACCCTAAACAAACTTATTTTCTTCTTAAATGTTCTGAATCTTTTTAATTAATTTTGTTTCTGGTATTCTGTGGTTTTTCCAACAACTGTAAATGGGATCACCCCTGCCATTTCAAATTACTACTAGTTAAAAAAAAAGTCACTGAGTTTTATAAACTTATTTTGTGTCCAGTTACTGTACCATATTTATCAATCTTATTTTTTGGTGGGATACAATTTTCAAATAAAGATAATTACTCCATCTTCCACACTGTTGTTTTTTTTTTAAGATTTTATTTATTCATTTGAGATAAAGAGAGAGAGTATGAGTGGGGGGGCGGGCAGAGGGAGAGGGAGAAACAGAGGATCCGGCTGGATCCCATGACCTCAGGATGAGGGGAGGCACACATTTAACTGACTGAGGACCCAGGCACCCCTCACACTGCTTTTTTCTTGATTATACTTTACAGAAAAACGTCTCTTGTGGCTTCAGGGTTTAGTATCTTGATTTGGAAGACTTCCTAAGATTATAAAATATTCTCCTAAATTCTTCATAACATTTATTAGAATTAGACCTTTTTCATATGGAACTTATATCTGCATAACAAGAAGGAATATGTTCTTTTTGTAAGTGGATATTCACTTGTCACAAAATTTATTAAACAGTCTATTCTTTTATCATTGATTTGGGATTGTTTTTTATTAACTAGGTTTCCATTTATATTTGGGTATATTTTTGTTCCACTGGTGAATGTGTCTATTTTTGCTACAATACTGCACTGCTTAATTCTTATAGTTTTATCAGATATTTTGCTATTTAAGAGGACATGGTCATCCACCACCACCTCCATCAATTTCCACAGGAAATTGTCTGGATTTTTCTTGTCTGTTTTCTCTTCTACATACACAGGAAAGATACTTTGTCAAATTTATACAAATTCTATTGGGATTCTGATAGGAATGTGCTTAACATACAAATTTTGAGAGAACTGTATCTCTAAAACCCGGGATCTTTCCATCCAGAAACATCTATCTAGATATTTTTATGTGCTTTGGCTAAATTTAGCTTTCTTCATATAGACCTTATATAATCCTTGCTAGGTTCATTTCTAGAAACTGTAGAGTTTTTGTAGCTACCATGTTTGAGGGTTTGTCCCACTAAATTTTTTTTTTTTTTTTTTAAAGATTTTATTTCTTTACCTGACAGAGACACAGCGAGAAAGGGAACACAAGCAGGGGGAGTGGGAGAGGGAGAAGCAGGCCTCCCGCGGAGCAGGGAGCCAGATGCGGGGCTTGATCCCAGGACCCTGGGATCATGACCTGAGCCGAAGGCAGACGCTCAACAACTGAGCCACCCAGGTGCCCCTGTCCCACTAAATTTTCTAATTATGAAAGCTTGGGAAGCTAATTTTTACGTTTATTTTGGAAACAAATTCCCTTGTTGGCTAACACTTCCAGTTGGCTGCCTTGGAGTGTCTACATAGAGAATGAGATCTGCAAATTAACATTTCTTTTAATGATTTAAGCCTATCATTTCTTTTTTTTTTTTTAAGCAAAAGATAAACTGTTTAAACTAGTAGGTCTTCACTGAACTCTATAAATTACACATCTGTAGATCTCCTGCATATGAGGCTAAGCCTATCATTTCTTATTTTTATCTTATTGTATTGGCTGAAATGATGTTGAGTAATAGTGATGATAGCATGCAACTGTCTTATTCTTTAAAGGAAATGTTTCTAATGGTTTACAAGTAGTATTTGTTGGTTTCCTTTAACTTACTAACCAAGATGCCTTCTGTTCCTAGAATACTAAGAGTTTATCAAGATTTGGCTTTGAATTTCACTGCTTTTTAAAACAATGAATTAGAAAAAATAACACATGCAAATGTTTAAAACTATTATTTTTTATTGTGATGGCCTTGGATAAATTGAACACTTTCTAAGATGTGTAACTAGAAACATGTAAATTATGTATTTGTTAAAGTACTCGAATTTCATTAAGTATACATTCTTTTAGGGGCACCTGGGTGGCTCAGTCGGTTAAGTGTCTGCCTTCAGCTCAGGTCATGATCTCGAGGTCCTGGGATATAGTCCCACGTGGGACTCCCTGCTCAGCCGGGAGCCTGCTTCTTCCTCTCCCTCTCTCCCTCCTGCCACTCATGCTTGCTCTCGCTCTCTCAAATAAATAAAGTATACATTCTTTTATTGTTCTTTTTTAATATACTTTATTTTTTAAAAAAGATTTTATTTGTGAGAGAGCGAGAGCACACAAGCAGGGAGAGCGGCAGGTAGAGGGAGAAGCAAGCTCACCTCTGAGCAAGGAGCCGGATGCGGGGCTTGATCCCAGGATCCTGGGATCATGACCTGAGCTGAAGGCAGACACTTAACCGATTGAGCCACCCAGGCGTCCCATTACATACACTTTTTTAAGAGTTTTTATTTTTTCAGGTAATCTCTCCACCCAGTGTAGGGCTTGAACTCACAACCCTAACATCAAGAGTCACATACATGCACTACTAAGCCAGTCAGGCACCCCTACTGTTTTCTTTAAATGAATTTTAACTCCAAATGTTTTGCCATGTGTTTATTTCCTATGGGTATTAAAGTACAGCTTCTGTCAACTTTTATTTTTATTCATCTTTATGAAACTTAGATTTATGTTTTTATTTTAATTTAATTTTAAGATGCTATTTATTTGAGGAGGAGAGAGATAGCGAGAGAGAGCACATGCAGGGAGGAGAGGGAAAGGCAAGCTTCCCAAAAGCAGGGAGCCACATGTGGAGTTCGATCCCAGGACCCTGAGATCGTGACCCGAGCTGAAGGCAGATACCCAACCGAGTCACCCAAGCGCCCCTAGACTTATGTTTTTAAATAATTCCTTTACATTTATATTTTTTTCTTTTTTTTTTAAGACTTTATTTATTTGACTGAGAGAGAGAGAGCACAAGTAGGCAGAGTGACAGGCAGAGGGAGAGGGAGAAGCAGACTCCCCGCTGAGCAGGGAGCCCAATGTGGGACTTGATCCCAGGACCCTGGGATCATGACCTGAGCCGAAGGCAGACGCTTAATGACTGAGCCACCCAGGCGCCCAATTCCTTTACATTTAAATCAGAAATTATTTTAATGAAATAGCCATTTCTATGTTTTTGCTATGTTTTTTCTAATATGATTGATAACATAGGGAATAATTTGTCACAAAATTCTACACTTGCTTATATGCAATTTTGTCTGTGAGAAACTCTAGGTCAGTTCTACCTTCGGGCAATTTTAGCCCCCCCCACCGCCGGACATTTGGCAATGTCTAGAGACATTTTTGTCATGACTGGGTGGGGACTGCTACTTGCATCTAGTGTGTCAAGGCCAAGGATGCTGATAAACATCCTACAATGCACAAGATAGCCCCTCACAACACAGTATTATCCAGTAGAGAATGTCAGTAGCAGCAAGGATGAGAAACTGCACTAGGTGAACAAAGAGATCCAAGTAGGAGTATACAACACACACACACACACACACACACACACACACACCCACCCCCACACACCCCCCCCCTTCGAGAATCTACCAGCTACCTCAGGTTACCTTGTTTTATGAGCCCTACCTACCCACACCTGGTGTTACAACTTTCCAACTGATTTCAGATAATGGTCCTCTCACTTCACAGTAACTCACAAGCACTACCCCTTCTTACACCCACTTCCATAAGTCAATTTCAGGTAGTTTTTAAGATAGCTTATTTTTTAATAATTTAACATGCATAAAACTGTGTTTTTATTGGGTTCTTATCTTTTCAACATGTCACTGACAGGAAGAAAAAATAAGATAAACAGAGAGGGAGGTAAACTATAAGAGACTTAACTATAGCAAACAGAGAGTTGCTGGAGGGGTAGTGGGTGGAGGGATGGGGTAACTGGCTGGTGGGCATTAAGGAGGGCACTTGATGTAATAATGAGCACTGGGTGTTATATGTCAGTGATGAATCACTAAATTCTACCCCTGAAACTAATAATACAGTATATGTTAACTAAATTGAATTAAAACAAAAACATGTCAGTGACAAACTTTTAGAGTGTTATGTGCTAACACCCTTTCTCCCATAAGCTGTGGTTTTTATTGCATGATTTTGCATTGCACTGTGATTTTTAGAAATGCATGTGATGTATTATAGCAGAAATGAATGCATGTTTTTGCTTAAAATATACTCATTCTCTTCTTTTGATTAAATTCCTTACTTTTAAAATGTTTTCAAGAAATGCTCAAAAAGCCTTCATTGGTTATTACTTTAATTTTCAGAAGTTTAAGGTTCAGAGAATTAGAGAACACTGTAACAAGTATCCTAGTATTTACTACTGATTTAACAAATTTAACATCTTTCTTCAGATTTCCTTTAAATGAAATAGAATATGACAGATGAAACTCAAGTCCTCTAGTCCCTCTTTAATACTGTTCTCATACTCAGTCCTATTTTCTCTTCCAAGAGAATGCAAACATTATGGTGCATGTAGTAACTTTTGTTTGTGCTTTTAATTCTTACACAGACATAAGTAACTATAAATAAGTATTACTTTGTCTTTTATGCACAAATCCTTTATTATACTGCAGCTTGTATTTTTCACTCATCATCTGTCCATATTGATACATACAGAACTGATATACTTTTGTGTCATGTTCCACTGTCTGAATAGGTCATAATTTTTAATCCATTCTTTTATCCATTGACCATTTGTCTACAGTTCTCTGAACTGCCTGTTCAGATCCTTTGCCCATATTTTTACTGGGTCATCTATCATTTCATTTCTAGGACTTCTTTAATTTTTAAAAAAAATTTATTTATTTATTTGAGGGTGGGGTGAGGGAGAGAGAGAGAAAGTCTTTTTTTTTTTTTTAAGATTTTATTTATTTATTTGACAGAGAGAGACACAGCGAGAGAGGGAACACAGGCAGGGGGATTGTGGGAGAGGGAGAAGCAGACTCCCCACCAAGCAGGGAGCCCTATGCAGGGCTTGATCCCTTGTGACCTGAGCGGAATGCAGATGCTTAATGACTGAGCTACCCAGGCGCCCCTTTTATGTAACTTGTGTATTGATTAACTGTTGAGTATATTAGGTTACAAATACTTTCTCCTTGTGTACGTCTTATCTTTTAATTTTATTTATGCTTATATTGTACATAAATTTTCAGTTTCGATGTAAACATATCAATCTTAGGTCGTTTTGCTTTCTGTGTTGTTTTTTTTTTTTTTTTTAAGATTTTATTTATTTATTTGAGAGAGAGAGAGAATGAGACAGAGAACATGAGAGGGGGGAGGGTCAGAGGGAGAAGCAGACTCCCTGCCGAGCAGGGAGCCCGATGTGGGGCTCGATCCTGGGACTCCAGGATCGTGACCTGAGCAGAAGGCAGTCGTTTAACCAACTGAGCCACCCAGGCGCCCCTGCTTTCTGTGTTTTAAACATTTTTTCTATATGTAGGTTACAGAGATATTCTAAATTTTTTTCCAAAAGGCTTGTTTTACTTTTCATGTTTAGATTTTAAATTTATCTGGAACATAATGTAATTTTTTTGTTATACAGTGGTGATCTACCTTAATGTTATTTTCCAACTGGAAAAGGCAATTGTCCCAATACTGCTTTTGAAAGTCTCTGTATTACTTTCCTAAAGCTGCTGTAACAAAGTATCCCAACTGGGTGGTTTAAAACAATAAAAATTTATTCTCTTATAGTTCTAGTGGCTAGAAGTCTGATACCAGGTGTCAGCAGGATCATGCTATCTCTGAAGCCTCCAGGGGAGAAGCTGTTCCATGTCTTTCCCTTAGGTTCTAGTACTGGCTGGCAATCCCTGGCATTTCTTGACTTAAAGCTGCATAACTCCAATCTCTGTCTCCACTGTAACAGTAACTTTGTGTGTCTGGATCTCTGTGTTTCCTCTTAAAAAGATAACAGTCACACTGGATTAAGAACCTACCCTACTACGCTATGATCTCATCTTAACCAATTAAATCTGCAACAACCTTACTTCATGTAAGGTCACAATCTGAAGTTCCAGAAAGGGCATGAATTCTGGGGAGACACTAGTCAACAAAGTACAGTCTACATCTGGGTTGTCTTTCCGTTTTCACTGCTGTGTGTGTCTATCCCTGCACAAAATAGCACGGTAGTAATTCTATGGGCTTCTAATAAGTTTCATTATCTGCTAGGGCAATTCCCTTTTCGTTGTTCTTTTTTCAGAATCATATTTTTGGCATTTTTCCAAATGAAATTTAGAATCTGTTTGTCTAAAGTCACCAAAAGTCTTACTGCCATTTTAATAAAACTGCAGTAAATGTATATGTTAAGTTGGAAGAAAAGTATCATTTTTACTGTATTTAGTCTTTCCATCTATAGGCCTGGTTATCTCCCATTTATTTATAATTTCCCCATAAAGGTGTTGCATATCTTTTGAATATTTAATCCTAGAAATTACATTTTCTTAGCGGAGACTGTTAACGCTATTTGGAAATTAATAACCTCATGAATTCGTTTAGTAATCAGGAAAAATGGTCAAAATCAAAGTTTATAAGACATTTAAAAAAAAAATAATGGCCATTCCCTCTAAACCTCGATTACAACAAAACATTAAATAATCAAATAACGTGTACTCTGTTTAGGGTTTTATATCCTATTCTATTCCTTCCAACCTCCCTTCCTTCCTTCCACTCAACACAAACTGTAACACGTTAGCAGATGAATTCTCTTATTCAAGCTGCTGCCAGACAATCGCTTTAATCCTCAAAATCTTGTCTTTAAAACACTTGTTCCGAATTCAGTAACTGTGATGTAAACTGGCTGAGCTCTAACACAAACCGCCGGCACCAGACCCATTTCTCTCCTTTCCCTTGCCTGCCCCCGCCGCGCCCGGGCGCCCCCCGCCCAGGCTGGGCCCGCTGCTGAGCCCTGGTCCACGCTCGGTTTGTTCGCGAGGGCGGCCACGGACGAGCCCCAGAAGTGGCGGTCACCGGCTCCGTCCAGGGCCCAGACCGTACACTCGGAGCCTCGCGCGACCTCCAGGCTCCGTTTCCACCCGTTCTCTGCTGCCACCTCACGAGGACCCCGGATGGGTACCCGCCAAGCCGGAGCCCCGCCCCGAGCCCGGAATCCGGGCGTCCGCGCGGGAAGCCTTTCTTACCGGAGCCGGTTCGGCCATGGCCCTCCGCGGTCCCGTCCGGCCGCTGCCCCGGAGACACCGAGCGCCGTGTCCGCCCCCCGAAACCTCCTCGGCGCGCGGCCTCCCGCCCCGCCCCGCAGGGCCAGCCCCCACGCGGTGCACGCTGGGACTCGAGCCTGCCCTCGCCCCACAGCGCCCCCTGCGGCCCGGAGGAGCCAGCGACGCCCGCGGCACCGCCTTCGCAGGGCTGCCGCGCTGGCCGCAGTGCGGTCGGTGGCGGGTCGTCTCGCTCTGCCGGAGTCTCCAAACGAGAAAGACCGAGACCCAGACGCGCTGGAAGGCGCTGGAGAGAGGGAGACGGAGAGGTGGACGTGCAGACTGAGCTGCAAGTAGGGAGGAGACTCACTCTTCACTGAGCCCTGGACGGAGAGGGGGTGCGGGATTGGTTCCTCCCGAAGCGGACCCCAGGCGAGGGTAGGATCATCTGTGAGGCCATCCCGGGAACGGAGCGAGGGCGGTGAACCGGCCAAGGGGGTCAAGGAGCAGGCCCTGCCGTGGCAATGGGGAGTCTGTGGTGCCGGGCACTCTGAGAGTGTGCAGACCTGCTCAGAATCCTCCCGCCGGGGGCCAGGGGCCAGGAGGCTGGGAATTCATTCTCGGGGAGTCAGGCAGACACACGGCATCGCTGACACCATGGACTTAAATTAGGAACATGACTTACAGTCTATAAAATCAAAGAAATTGTATTATAACCTAAATATGAAATGGTCCTTAAATGTACCCCGTCTTTCACTCTTATTTTTTTTTTTTTTAAGATTTTATTTATTCATTTGACAGAGACAGAGATAGCGAGAGCAGGAACACAAGCAGCGGGAGTGGGAGGGAGAAGCAGGCTTCCCTCGGAAGAGGGAGCCCGATGTGGGACTCGATTCCAGGACTCTGGGATCATGACCTGAGCCCAAGGCAGACGCTTAACGACTGAGCCACCCAGGCACCCCCGTTTTTCACTTTTAATCACCCAGGGTGGTTGAAGTGCTGAGATATATGTAATTGCTATACCCACCTTAAAGGTTTAAAAAAAAAATCGAAAAGTATGAAATTTAACAATAAAGCAAATTTAAAAAGTAAAAGTTGTTTATAATTCTGGTACTCTCATGTAAATGCTCTATTTCCTCATATAAATTTCCAGTCTCTGTCCACAGACATGTACTCTTTATATGGTTCTGAGACACACACCATTTTTTCTTGTTTCACTTACCACATCAAAGTTTTCCATGTTTCTCATAATTTTATAATTATACTCGTAAATGGATGTAATTCAAGGCAATGTATTAATCTGCTAGGGTTGCCATAACAAAGTACCACAGACTGGGTAGGTTAAAGAAATTAACTTTCTCACAGTTCTGGAGGCCAGAAGTCTGAGATCAAGGTGTCAGCAGTGTTGCTTTCCTCTGAGAACTCCTTGGTTTGCAGATGGGCACCTCCTTCCTCTGTCCTCCAAGGCTGTTCCTCAGGCTAGATGTTTTGTGTCCTAATCTCTTGACATTGGACTAGGGCCCACCCATAATGACCTCATTTTACCTAAATTGCCTCTTTAAAGGCCCTATGTCCAAATATAGTTCTGTTCTGACGTACTGGGGGTTAGAACTTCAACATACGAATGTTGGGAGAATACATTTCAGCCCATAGAAGGTAGGGTAGTATGAAATATTTAGGAGCAGTTAAAAAAATGTGGCCATAAATAATGCTGCTTGAATATTTTCATATACATAGTCTTAAAAGTGCTAAGGATAGACCAATACATTAAATTAGATTAAGATTTAAAACATTTTTGTACATCAAAAAACACGATAGCATAGCCAAAATTAGGTCAGACTGGGAAAAGATATTTCCAACAAGCAAAAGCATCCGGAGAATATAAATAACTTCTAAAAATCAAAAGACTAGCCAGGAGGAAAATGTGCAAAATTATGAACAGTAAATTCACAGAAAGAGGAAAAAAATGAATAGGCAATAAACACACAAAAATGTTCCATCTTGTTAGTCAGGGAAATGCAGTATCTGCTTAAGAAGATGTGCATATCCTATCACCCAGCAAGTCTTACCTTGCTGCTAGTTTTGCACATTTACATGGGAGCCATACTTAAGAATCTCTATAGCAGCATTGTTTTAAGAGCAAAAACAGGTAAGCGATTTAAATGTCTGTCACCCAGAGGATGGGTATCTTGTGGGGTTTTTTCCCCATACATTGAAAACTAGCAGCAAAAACTAATGAACTGTAGCTAAAAACAGCACACATGAATAGCACTAACACAATGTTGAGTGAAAAGGCATGTTGCAGATTACATACAGTATGGTACCTCTTACAGAAACTTTAGAACATATAAAATAGCACTATATTTAGGAATATTACATATGTAGGAAAAGCATACAGACATGTACAGGAATACTCAATGGGATAGCAGTTATCTCTGGGAGGTGGGATGGGGAAGAGGTGGTGAGGAGAGGACTGAAACCAAGGTTACACAGGTGCTCCATCAGTACAGATGGTTCCCGATTTGTGATGCTACCGCTTATGATTTCTCAGCTTTACAATGGTGTGAAAGCAATGTGCATTTGGTAGAAACTATATTTTGAATTTTGATCTTTTCCTGGGCTGGTGAATGCTGGAGGATCCTCTCTCGTGATGCTGGGCAGCTGCAGTTCCCAATCAGCCATGCGATCACAAGGGGCAAAACCCAATACGCTTACAACCATCAGCACTCACAGAGCCATTGTTTGTCAATTTCAGTACAATATTCAATACATTACATGAGATAGTCAACACTTTATTATAAAATAGACTTTGTGTTCGGTGTTTTGCCCAACTATAGGTTAATGTAAGCGCTTTGAACACATTCAAGGTAGGCTGGGTTAAGCTATGATGCTCAGTAGGTTTAGGTGTTTTATTTTACTTTTTTTCAAAAAGATTTTATTTATTTATTTGACAGAGAGAGAGAGTGTGCATAAGCAGGGGGAGTGGCAGGCAGAGGAAGGAGAGGGAGAAGCAGGCTCCCCACCGAGCTAGGAGCCCGATGTGGGGCTCGATCCCAGGACCCTGGGACCATGACCTGAGCCAAAGGCAGACGCTTAACCGACTGAGCCACCCAGGCGCCCCGGTTTAGGTGTTTTATTTTTTTTTTAAGATTTTATTTATTTACCTGAGACAGAGAGAATGAGAGACAGAGAGCACGAGAGGGAAGAGGGTCAGAGGGAGAAGCAGACTCCCCGCCGAGCAGGGAGCCCGATG